AATTTTGATTTATATTCAACTTTCTGCACCTATATATGCAAATTTAAAACAATGCTCGATTTATCAAAAGTGCTTTCACGTGTGAACAATTTCCTTTTTTGTTTTTCAAAGATTGTAAAAAAAAAAATTTTGATATCGGATCTTAAGGTTAAAACGGTTTTTTTGGCATATTTTTGATAATATTCTGGAAATAAGGTTTTTGTTCTGAGAGACAGGGTTAGGCACTGGGAATGTCAAAAGAATTTAAGTAATAATATTGCATTTTCCTTTTATTCAATTTGCTTAAGATATTGAATTTTATTTTCCATAACATAATTTTCTTTGATAAAATTAATTTTTCGATCAATACATTGACCATGAAAAAGTTATTTCACAGTTATTTCACAGTAGATTTGCAACAATCATAAATGTTACATAGAAACTTTTTTTACACTCATCCTAAAAAAGGATTGAACAATAACTAATACAGTAACGTTTATAACTATTTAGAAAATGACAGTATTTTTTTTATCCGTGAATAACAATTTGTAATCTTCACCTGAAAGATAAATGGAGCATTTTATAAGATTTATTCTTGCGCTTTTATATTCATGAATTATTGAATTTTTAAGTAGAGGAAAATTAAATTAAGATAAAATCAAAGTATTGACCAGACTGTAAATTTGATATGGCTTGATAGAAAAAGTTGAGAGAGTGAAATAATATTTATTAGATAAGAAAATAAAGAGATTCTGAGGTGTAAGTCGATATACATGCATTAAACAAGTCTTGCATCTATACATGACTAGGGCATGTGAGGTTGCTGAACTGCATTTAAATAAACTGTATTTTCCTTTCTTTCATGAGGTCTGACGTTTTAATGTTTTGCAATTCTCAGACTCACTACCATTTTTCAATTGGCTTTGAAAAATAAAAACACAACACGAATGTTTCATATTGCAATTCAATATATTCTTTGAGTCGGCGCTATATATCACCACTCCTGGTTCCCTACCCCTAAGCATTCTGTAGTAGAACACACGTTTCTTTAAAGCTCTCTGTTGAACAAAAGTGAAATTTTCTAATAATGTAGAGTTTCTTTCACCCTTGCAGCATTTTACAGATTATTATTTAAGGTTTAAATAAATCTGTTTTGATCCTTATGTTAACATTAAAGGTATAACAAAACAATGTTGTTTTAACTAATTGACTCTTAATTGGCAGTGTGTTTTCCTATTTTGAGAGATATTTACATTGATTTGAGTTACAGGCTTTTTTTTAATGTTGACATAATTATCACAAGTTCTTTCCCTTAAAGTGACACCGTGACGGCAAAAACGAAAAAGATTACAAAAGAAGAATTTTTTCACGTGCAAATTTCAGTTCAGTTCTTGAAGATATTAGGTTTCAGAAAATTACAGGTTTCAGAACATACAAAATCTACTTTTATGGAGAAGAGTAAAAATAATTTTTGTATAGCCCAACACAAAAATATTGTTCACTTTTTCCTCCTTATTGTACGCATGCGCAGAAAACTTGAAGAAGTTAGCATAGTGTTAATTTATAGATATAAATATCGGATGACCGAGAATTTTGATACATTTTTCAAAATAAGATGATCAGAACTTATTCCTCACTTTTGCTTCCTCCAGTTCAATGTTGTTTACAAGTTTCATGCTAAAAATAAAGGACGCGTGACCTTGACATTGTTAACATTGACGGTAACAACTACGCGATAGATACAACCTTTGTTTTTTCTGGCACTTACATTTTGCAGTTCTTTTCTTGCTTTACAGTACAGTTGAGTGGTCAAAACTTCGCTTTATTCATATTTCACATAAATCTTTTGTTTTATGATAAAATAATGTTAAAAAAGACATGATTTTGACTCATTATGTAACTTTATCAATTTTCTTCAATCTATCTACAAAAAGGAATATTAAGCAAAAATCCATTGGAGTTCATTTATATGAAACCGTATAGACTACACCTGTCACAATTTTAAAAAAAAAAATGGCCCTGGTGTAGGAGTAACCTGTATTGTGATTAATTGTAAGGAAGTGTATTACTGGGTAGCCAGAAATTTTTAACAGTAATTAGGTGTCTTAGCTAATAATATGTACTAATCTATACCCCAACAGATATGATTAAAATAATGCAAAATTTAGCTATACTTTATTCCCGGGTAAAAACCAGTGATACCCGGGAATTACCAGTATTTTCACCATCCTTGGATTATTTATCAAAGACTTACTTTTTTTAAATTTTGTAGTGCCATTGATTTGTTGCATCGGCAAATGATGAAAAATGTTTTGCTTCAGGGGTTGATTCCATCTCCGTGCATGCCATCCGCAATGGCCAATCCCAATAAGGAGTGGCTGATGGCCTTTCAATCGGGTATAGGACAGCAAACTTGATATAACTAGAAAAGGAATACTAGCTAAAAGAAACTACATTTATTTAAGTTGTTAAAATGTCTTTTTTTTCCCTTCGTGTTCGACCAAAATAAATATGAACTTTCAAGTTCTTTAATTCTCTTATGTCCATTTTAAGAGCAGCGTAATTTTTTTCTTCATTTTAATGATACAGATTTTAATTTGGTAGTGAAAGTCAACATAGGAGAAACATACATGAACACGCTGCCTCTCAGGAAATAAATAAGTAGTTAAAAAAACGATTTTTCGTGTTTTCTCATTTCCATCAAGCAACAAAATATCAAGAAATGAAAAGACAAGTCATTTTTTTTTTACCAGATGTAATATCTTATCTGAAACGACATTCGATGAGAAATATAGATCAAATAGATGTTGAAAATACGAAACACGAGACACTCGACATGTAGGAGGACTACAGGGAGCTGATAATGATACAAGGAGAGATCTTTTGTCTGTTTTACTCTATCCTCCGCTGGTTTTATTTTTGAGGTATTTCAACGACATAGACTGTGAATTATCCTATAAAGGGTGTGTTTTTATATAGATATAGAGATCAATGTGTTATTTCTATTTAATAATGATATCGTAATAATGACCTCGGGATGTAATAAAATCCCCCTCTTCTTACTTTTTTCCTCGATCCTTGGGGTAATAAAATTTAAACTGCAAATAGTTGGCAGAAAGTACAAATATAAACATTCTAAAGGTATTGGTTCAATCCTATATCATTTATATTGAGTAATCTTAGGTTTATAATATCGATTATTCCTTTGAAAAACTTCTAAAAAAAACATAGGCGATATTATTTTTAAATTTTAAATAAATCATTAATATTGTTGACATTATACTGTGGTGTAAATGAAAAAAGAGGAAATATATGTATGTGCTCACTTCGATCAAATAAAGGTTTCTATTTCTTATTAAAACAGTGGAACATGGCTCTTTTCTGAAGGTATAATTTTCAAAGTAGATACCTAATGCTTCATTGGTATATAAAACTAACGTAACCAATCCTTAGACGAAACAAAACTTTATCCTTATCTTCTTTTTGTAGCGTTTTATTCTTACATTTTAAAAACCTGTTGATTTCAATTCATAGCCACACTGTTCGACTTGATTTATTTCTTTTATTTCTTTTGATTAATTTTTCCTGTTGAACACCGATTTTAAAGTAATTATATACACTTATACTTTTTTATATTTTTACAACAGCTTACTCAAGTGTGATAAAGATGAAGTTTTCATTCTCAAATGATATAAAATCAGTAACACAGAAAGTTTAACATCATAGCAACTCAATTCACTTGAAAAAAAGAGGGAAAAAATAGTGAGACACTTTTCAGAATAATTGATCTGCTCCAAGAGTTCTCTAAGTCAAGGTTGAACGTAGGCGGTGGCAGTGCATTAACCATTCCGTGAACCTTCTGACAGAAAATTAAATCCTAGGAAATAAATTACTTAAAAAGCAATCTTCGAATTTTGCCATGTCATTGTAAAAAGATTTTTGTTAATGAATTCATTTTTGAAATAGTGTAAAACCAATTTTTTGCAGGTTTTTTCTTCTCCATTTGAAAATATACAAATGTATGCAACATGACAATACTAAAAAAAAAAACAGAATTGTGCTCCTTAATGACAGCAATAAACACCCACGATTTATGCGTCCTTGTAAAACTTATTAAGTTATCCAGACAAAAAGGAAGTTTTGTTACTGTGATAAATAAATTTTCATTTTACCATAACATTCTCTTTTGCCTATTGAAATTTCTTAATTGAAATGCGAAGCCTAAAGATAAATTATTAGGTATATTAGGATTCGTATCCCTTCTAAATTCTACAAGTGAACGTTTTTATCCGCCGATTTCAATTACAAGATCTTAACCACAATCAAGATTGATCCGACTGAGTGAATGAAGATGTTTCAATTTCAATTTCGAAAAAGCATTTTTAGCCAATTATTTGGAGCTTTATCATGGTTAAACAATATTATCGCACTGATTTTTTTATTTCTCAGCCTATACATTGTTTTCGACCTTCTATTTTAGTCTTTGTCTTTTCTAGTTATATCATCTATTATCGTCCAATTATCAGATGTAGCTTTTATCGTCAGGATAGTCGTTTTTCATTGACTGCGTATGTGTTACTATAATTTGGTTATCAGATTCCAAGCCCTGTGATACGTCATAACTATGTACGCTTATATGTGGGATGTGTGACGTATCTAAAGGAACTTGTACAAGCACAGTGGTCTTCCTCAGTACTTTCCTCTTCTAAATGACAAGTATAGAAATTGTTTTAATGCATAGTAAGTAATCTAAGACTAAGAAATTGATATTCTTTAAACTTTATTACGTAAATAAATTCTGCAAAGTCTAGTATTATTGATAAAAAGTTTGAAAAAAAAGTATGCAATCTATGCCAATTTTTTTCTATAAGCATTGCTTACTACTGAATATAAACTTTCAGTATCAATATTTAAATTACATTTATATTTTGAGTATTTTGTTTTAAGCAATATTCTGGTATCACTATCTTATGCATTTTCTTCAATTTAAGCATACGAAAATTCCATTGAAAACGACGAAGAAACTTTATTTCTTCTGATGAGAGATCAGCCAAAGTAAACAATGCAAAACTATCACACATGTGAACAATTATCAACACAGTAAAGAATACAACGGGGCAAGAAAAGGAGCCCTGGAAACCAACGAGGTGGGATCAGGTTCCTAGAAGGCGTAAGCATCCCCTGTCGACACACCTGCTGTGAGACCTTTGTTTTGATCAGGTAAAAGGGGTAATCTTCAATCAAAATATTGTAAAAATAACGACCTTGCAATTCGTGGGAATTATGTCAGTCAAACTGTGACCCAACTATACTTTATATTTGCAAACAAGGTCATTATGCATTTTCTTCAATTTAAGCATACGAAAATTCCATTGAAAACGACGAAGAAACTTTATTTCTTCTGATGAGAGATCAGCCAAAGTAAACAATGCAAAACTATCACACATGTGAACAATTATCAACACAGTAAAGAATACAACGGGGCAAGAAAAGGAGCCCTGGAAACCAACGAGGTGGGATCAGGTTCCTAGAAGGCGTAAGCATCCCCTGTCGACACACCTGCTGTGAGACCTTTGTTTTGATCAGGTAAAAGGGGTAATCTTCAATCAAAATATTGTAAAAATAACGACCTTGCAATTCGTGGGAATTATGTCAGTCAAACTGTGACCCAACTATACTTTATATTTGCAAACAAGGTCATTATAACGACCATACAATTTGCGAAATGCCGACTTTAAATGAGATAATTGAAAGTTCTATAGCATACTTATTTGTTAGCATCCTGCCTTCCTCGGTTTAAAAATTGATATCGCATCATATATGGAGGTGATTATGGAATTTACTACCTAAATCGGGAAAGTTGATGGTAAACCTGAAGTCATCCCGTTTGTCAAAACGTTTAGTTGTTAGTTGTTCATTAACGTATTATATAGTCAGTAAAACAACGAAGTATGAAGAAGATGTAGCAGGTTCGTCAATTATTTCGAGTTCATATATATATATATATATATATATATATATATATATATATATATATATATATATATATATAACAAAGGAAATAGAGAAACAAAAACAACTAGCACTACTACTAAACTACCAAATACTAAATATGTTTTTAGTGTTTGGTAGTTTAGTAGTAGTGCTAGTTGTTTTTGTTTCTTTGTTTTTATGACTTCTTAACTTTTTTCTTTGTCCTGGGGAAGGGACAGGTCGTCCCGAAAATTTGACAATTATTTTTGTTCGTGTCGTTGGTCATTTCTAGTGCTTATATATATATATATATATATATATATATATATATATATATATATATATATATATATATATATATATATATATATATATATATGGGATATATCGCTTCAAAATCTGAGAAAGGCACTTTTGTCTTTCAGAGCGCTTAATTTCAAAAGAACACATTTTCATTTCTTCTAAGTTTCAAATATACCCCCAATAATATACCGTTTTATTTGATTTAGGTTCATGTCATTTGTTTCAAGTACCGGTAGATTGTTCAGGGATTAGACTGACCGTCTTCTAATGTTTTCCTAACAAGCTTTCAGTGATTTATTACTTACAAATCTTATTTCTCTGAGATTGTTTGATGTGCTACAGATAATTTGCCATTACTGTCCAATTCCGTCTTCTGAAAATGGTGTATAAAGTAACAAAATAGCAATCAAAATGTATTTATAATCGTAAATAGTTTGCACAGGCAATCAATTTAATCATAAAAATGCTAAAGAAACGAAGATGAACGTTACAAATACAGAAAAAAGATATTTTTAAATTATCCTTTTTTCATTTATCACGAGACAAACAGTGATGGAATGTCTTCGTGCTACATGTATAAAATGTAGTTTCTTTTTTAAATGTAAATTTGCTTTTGTATATACTCGATAATACGACCTACATGTAAATAAAGACATAATCTCAATCTGTATATGGTTCTCTTTTTTCCAGATTATTACTCGTTGTTTACTAATACCTTTCATAAGTTGTTAGGCCATTATTTTCACACCAAATTCTCTACGGATTTTTTTTTCCGTTTACCCTATCATGACAAGGAACACACAGCAATTTTTAGCGGTTAATAAGGGATGATCAATCCTCTATGGCACCTCATCCTACCTCTGTTTTGCTCTCCTTCCAGTTTGTATCATTTCAATACAAATGGAATTTTTATCACAATTACTGTTCGTTAGCTTTACATTTCATTCAAGTTCAGATATAAATGCAGAAATGTAATACCCATTTCCTGATTACAATTACAGTATATATAAGTGTAATGATGAATACTGTAATTACTGATCTTGTGCTTTGTTGCAGATAAATTATAATATTTACTAATTTTAGTTCTTGATGATAAATACTAATAATTTCTTAATAATTTCTGTTGTTTTACTATTTGTTTTGATAATTGCTGACAAAAACTGATGAAAATGCTGTCGATACTGAGAATTACTGCTATTGTTCCTACTAAAAAAAAACTGTTTAAGGAATATCTCAATAATGAAATAATTATTTTAAATCACATTTAAGTATTGTTATCCTATGCGTTTTCTATGTAATCAGGCTAACATAATAAATCTGACACTACATAATTATTTTTTAATACATATTTTGAAGAGAGAAAATCTAGGAATTAAATGAATGTACCATTTTTAGGATTACAACAATTCCGTTTACCTGATCAATACATAGGGCTTCAATGACGCCGAAACGATGGTAATCCGAAATATTTAAATAAAAAGAAACTTTGAAGAGCTGAAAAAAGGGGTGCCAAAGATTAGCGCCAAACACAAGGGATCAAGGGATATGCCTGAGGGAGATAATCCTTAATTTTGAAATAAATTTCTAAATTTTACCACAGCAATTAATTATATATCCGTATTTTCAAGCTAGCACCGAAGTACTTAGCTACTGGGCCATTTGGATAAATCGAAGGACTATTTTTTTTTTCTATAACAGAGTTCACAAAAGATATAAGATATATGTATTATTCTAATTAATTATGTGATCTCATTAAGATAGTAGGAACTATGTATATGACATTGTCTTTAAACATTACTCATGCATATTTGTCTTTATTACAAATAAAAATTGACTTTTTCAAAATTCTGAAGAAAAAAATTAAAATCTCTTTGCTAATAAGCTTTTAAAAACTGAAAAAGGATATCAAACAACGAAATACAAATGGCATAAAGATGTTTGTGCTCTTATTTTCTTGATGTCTTTTGAATATATTTCCATTTCCAACTGTTTTCTCTTTGATAATTCTTTGAAAGGTAAATGGTGTTAATTTCTCGATATTTACAACTGAGTGTAAATTTCTCCAAGTGAAAGGTTAAGTGCCTAATATGCATGCCAATCTCCCGGGCTGTCATTGTGTCTAAAATCAGTGGGCGGGGACTATGAAAATTAACATGGATGCTTCGTATACTTCAATTCTATTATACGGCATCTTTTTATTTATATTTGCATTCTTATTTCACATAATTATAAATGTAAATATAAAGAATCACTGTCTAATATGCTCGGTATGCAGGGACATTAACGACATTAGTTTGAAACGTGGGATAATTTATGTATGATGGGCTTGTCCATTATACAAATTAACCCACGTTTCCTCTTGCCATTAATGTCTCCTGGCATACCCAACAAACTAAACAGTGATTCCTTAGGGAGTTAAATTATTTCCATAAACAATATCATGTAATTAGAAACAAAAGTTATCATTAACGTTTATTGATAAATAATCTAGAAGACATTAATTTCATTAATCGATTCTTGGAAAATTGTATAAATATATTCTGGAGAAGTTGGTTCAAAAACTTTTTAAAAATTCGTCAAAAAATATCACAGATTTGATACTTAGTTTTATTCAATACTTATTTTCACATTCAGCAATCAAATCATTATATACTTCTTCCACTGCTTTAAATCACTAATAAATAATCTAGTTAGTAATTACCCTATCCAAATCAGAATATTTTTGTCGAATCGTTTTTAGCTTTCATGTTCTAAATTGATTTTTTTTCTCCAATTTTCCTGATCATGACAATGAGCACACGGCAGATGTGATCAGTCAACAGGTATGCTTATTCCTCCATGGCACCTGATCCCAACTATGATGTTTTAAAGATTCGTTCATGCTGTATTCCAAATCTGTATTGTTTTAATGGACTTTTGAGCATGGTTACTGCTCGTTATCTCCATATTTCATTAAATCAATATTTTGGCACAATGCATAAACCAGTAAGTTTCTCTTGTAATTCCATACTTTAACATGAATAGAAATGTCTGCAATATTCACACACAAAGTTTTACTTTTCGAAGTTGCATTGGGTTTTTGAATAACTAACCATGGTCTTCCTTCATCTGAAAATATGTTTTAATAACGATCGGACATTTGCTGTATACTTAACAATAATTCGATAAATTATTATTTCTCTGAAGTAACAAAATGAAACAGGATTGATACTGTTTTGTATGATCTTATGAAGAAATACTAACTTTTTCCATTATTGGATACATTTTACTTACAGTTTTTCTAATTTCATAAACAACATTTTATCAATCTAAATACGTTTTATAAAAAGAGATTGTAAGTACATCAGCTTCTATACTTCAAATCTTAAAAACCGTCACGGTAGCTCAGTCGGTAGAGCGCTCGCTCCGTGATAGGAAGGTCGTGTGCTCGAATCACGGCCGCGACTGACCTAAGTCGATAAAAATAGGTAGCAACTGTTCTTTAGCCCAACCGCTCGGCCCTTTGAAGTAAAAGTTGTGGGTCCTTCGGACGAGACCTCAAAAACCGAGGCCCTGTGTCACGGTAGGCTTTGGCAATATAATGAACCCTCACTGCTCAATGGAGCTAAGTGCCGAGTAAAGGTCTAAATTTCAAGCCCTTCACCGGTATATGGTGACGTCTTTATATGAGTGAAAATTCTCGAATGGGACGTTAAACAACATACAATCAACCAATCAATCAAATCTTAGATTAAGGTTCTACAACGATAAACCCTTTTTTTTAATTACTAATTTTCAAGCAAGTTAATCTCCATGCTTTTCATTAATTAATATGCCTTAAGTTGTATGATTTCTAGAAAATATATTTCAATGAAATAAGGAACAAATAAAATGCCGTTTAAGTATATGTGCACTTTACACAAAAGCGTGCTTTTGTTGCCTTATTGACGTCAGTTTGTGAGAAAATACGAATATAGTATACAGCAGGACCGATGTCAGTGATAAGCGACTGCGATTTTCGTGAAGTACAGGAGTTTATCTCCTAATCAAATCCGTAAATCTAGCTACTACAACCAGCGTTAGTGGCCTTCAAGATAATTCCTCTCGCTTTGACGAAAATGGTCATTTTATGACGTTGGAAACATCTGCCTTGAACAGAATTGAATTACAGATATCCCCGTCTCCTGCAGGGGATTATTTATTTGCAATTTTTAAACCATTTTCTATGTAACAAATCCCGAACACTGTACAGAATTATCTATGATTGATGGATACATTCGGGAAATATTGAATGCATTTTTGGGAATGAATCGTAAGTCGAGAATATGAAT